AGCTCAAGAAGAATACGGTGAGGACTTGGTGTCCTGGACTGTGTGTTCAGGACTGGGTGTCCGGGACTGTGTGTCCTAAGGTTTAAATACCTAGCCGCTCCAACCAGACGTACAGTTGTCACAGCAACTGGAACTGGTCCAACATATCATTGTCTTCAACGAGTCACTGGTTTCATCTTCACTTCCTTTTCTTACTGTTACACATTGTGAAGCCATTGCATGCTTGCTTTATCTTTTGTCTTCACAACGTGAATGTATGAACTGTTTGGCTTCATAACTTCTTCCAACCTGATCCTTATTAGACTGCAGTTGTTTGTCATTGTGCTTTCACTCTATTGAATACAAGACCATGGCTGGCCTAGTGTAATCTAACTTCCGCTGCATAGTGATAGGCCTAATCTTCGCTGTTTGTCTTCATAACTCTCACGTTTTGAAGACTTTCATAAAAATCGCCTATTCACCCCCCCTCTAGTCGATATAACGCACTTTCAGTACATATGTTCTACAGTAACCTTGCCATAGTTGCATGTCTTTGTTCTGTTGATAAAACTGATTGAATGCAGGAGTGTGTACATTGTTTCTTGCAGTAATTGGGTTTCCTGCCACACTATTAGTGTCCTATCTCACTTAAATGGGAAACCCAGGAGGCGTTGTTGCCCTGTTAGTTCTAATTGGTGGCAAATTCTGCATTTATAAGTTCTCCAGTTGCTTAGACATTTCGTTCTCTGCTGCTAATTGCTTCCTCAACCGATTCACACTTTCAACTTTTTCATGTATTTGCTCATGATGCAAGGTAGGAGATCTGAGCACTTGAGTCGAACTGGAAGGGTTATCACTTTGAGGCATGTTCTACATTGGTTTCACCAATGTGTGAAGAACATAACTGATAGCTGAAAGTTGCTTACTGAAGTCCAAAAGTACTTTCTCTACATACCCAACTTGTAATGAAATTCCTCCCTGCTTGGAACTTATCGACTGTGCTTCCTCTTGTAATTTAGACACCTGACTTTGCATTTGGGCACTATCTTTTAGCAGAACACCAAAATCATTGCGCAAGGATAGAACCTCTTGAAGATCCGCCTCATCGATTGCTTTTGCGCGTCCCATCTCCTTGATCTGAGGTGTAGGTTGGGAATTTACCACTAGGAATCACCTAGAAACCATCCCTAAACCTCTGATCCTGCCGCCACCGAGCTCCACGCCTCCCTGGCACACAGATCAATGCCTGAACGTGGGATTGTACCGCTCGAGCAGAGTACTCGAACAACCACCTCTGCTCTATTGATCCATGCCTGAACTGTCACCGACTTGAGCGCCTACACACTGCCACCCTGAACCTCAACCCCTCCGTCGGTGCCGCCTGATACACCACCTTCGTCGTTGCTCACGAAGAAGGGTGGGAAAAGGGGTGTGAATCACCGTTTTGACAATTTTTTCTCACCAAGAAACGCCTCTGCCAAGGATTGATGGCTCATGATACCAATTTGTCAGGACCAAAACAATATTTGAGGAGATGAATTATAAATTTACGAATAATTTGGCAACTATTGATTGGATCTAAACTATTATTTCTATAGGGCGAAGAGTGCAGGGTTCATGTGTTAGCCATGGCAGGTACCAATTGGGGAATTCAACAATGAACCTCTCGAGCCACATCTCCGCTGGTTATAGGCTGGAAAACAATAGCGAGTGTAAAACAGTGAAAGGTAGAAATGCTAAAACGTCAACGGTAAAGTAAACATGCAATGGCGACTAGTCGTCTGAATAAGGAGCCATCGCAGCCGTCCATTCCTTTGAATCGGTATTGCCAGATCTGCTACACCCCTTCTTTGAATGAACAATGGTGTTGACTGAACGTGCGCCAGTCTAAGCCTGACATTGCCCCTCCCTTGAGAAACGACGTGTCCTCATGGCGCTTGTTGATTTGCACGCCAGATTTGAGTTGTTGTCTTGAAGAACTTTGGAAATATGTACTTGATAAATTTCGCGTCTTCCCATGTTGCCTCTCTAGGTGACAAATCCTCCAACTAGATGTACCGCTACACACATGCAAGTTATTTCTAGGAACTTGCCTCACTTGTAAGACTGAAGCAGGACCTGTTTTGATAGTTCGATCAGAAGTGACCATGGGTAAATTTGGGCTAGGTATGGATTTGCTGCCAATGTGCTTCTTTAGTTGACTCACATGAAAAACATGGTGGATTTTCACATGGTCACAAAATTGAAGTTTGTGAGCCATCTTGACAATCTTCTAGATGATCAAGAATGGTCCATAATATTTGTTTTGTAAATTTCAGAGCTCCTCTGAATCCGAAAGTTGCTAGCCTATATGGTTCCATTTTAAGATACACCATGCCTCCAGCCTCAAACGCTCTTTCACTTCTCTTGAGATCTACATATCTTTTCATTCTGTTCTAGGCTTGTTGTAAGTTGTCTTTCAGTTGTTCCAACATGTGTTGTTTAACAGACAAGAAGGTGTGAGTTCATCCTCAGGTTCCGGAATAGCTAGCTTAGAGATCAAGGGTGGAGTAAAACCATAAATATCTTGAAAGGGAGACATTTTCAGGGTAGTGTGATATGTAGTATTATACCAAAACTCTACCAAAGAAAGCCAAGAACACCATTTCTTGGGTTCATTGGTTGTCATGCGCCTAAGGTAAGTTTCCACACATTGGTTTACCCTCTCAGTTTGACCATCAGTTTGGGGATGGGAGGAATAATGAACCTCAGTTCACTTTTCAAACTAGCAAAAATATCCTTCCACAATTTACTAGTGAAAATTCCGTCTATGTCTGAAATAATGAGCTTAGGAGGGCCATGCAATCTGATAATGTTGTCCACAAAGGCTCGTGCTACACCAAGGACAGTGTATAGATGTGCTAGTGGTATAAAATGAGCATGCCTAGTAAATCTATGCACTACCACCAATATTACTTCATTGCCTTGAGATTGTGGAAGTCCCTCTATGAAAATTTATGTTGAACACCCTCTGTTATTTTCTGATCAGTAATGAATTTAAGAGACCGTTGATTTGTTTCGATGATGAGTTCATTTCCAATTAGATAGTCTCCGTCTTTTAAGTGCTTCTAGAATAGCCACAGTCTCTTTTCCATGAGTGGAAAGTGCAATATTTCTAGGGCACAAGGAAGAGTTGTAGTATGTTGGAGGTCTTCCATGCTGCTTCAACATTGCGCCAAATTCCTTTACCAGAAGCATCAGTCTCCAAGATAAAAGGCTGAGAGGTATTTGGTAGGACTAGAACTGGGGTTGTAATGAGAGCATTTTGGAGCTGAGCAAAAGCTTTGCCATGTTCACTCTTCCAGGAAAATTGTCCTTTCTTAATAGATCACATACCCTTTAATAAATTTTCTATAATAACCTGCTAACCCAAGGAAGCATTTTAATTTTGTAACACTATCAGGTGTTGGCCAGTCTGCAATAGCTTTGAATTTTTGTGGATTAGTGGCTACTCATGCCACAAAGATCATATGACCCAGATATTCTACTTGTTCTAATGCAAAAACACACTTAGATAACTTTGCACATAACGGTTTTCCTTTAAAACTCTCAGGACAGTCTCTATGTGTGTCTATGTGATCTTTTAGAGTTGTACTGTAAATGAGTATATCATCAAAGAACACTAACACAAACTTTCTCGAATAAGGGCCAAAAAAGTTGTTCATCAATGCTTGGAAAGTGCCTGGTGCATTGGACTGCCCAAAGGGCATCACCAAAAAAGTCCTGACTCATAAAGGAAATGCCTCTGCCAAGGAACGATGGCTCATGATACCAAATTGTTAGAACCCGAACAATATTTAAGGAGATGAATTGTAAATCGACGAAGAATGTGGCAACTACCGACCGGGTCCGAACTATTTATTTCTATAGGGTGAAGAATGTAGGGTTCACGTGCTAGCCATGGTAGGCAGCAACCGGGGATTCAACAATGAACCTCTCCGGCCACATCCCGGCTGGTTATAGGCTGGAAAACAACAGCGAGCGTAAGACAGTGAACGGTAGAAATGCTGCTATCGCGACAACGGTAAAGCAAATCCTACGGTGGGGACTCGTCGTCCGAGCAAGGAGCCATCGTAGCCGTCCGGTGTATTTGCCGGATCTGCTACACCCCTTCTCTGAATGAACAAGGGTGTTGACTGAAAGTGCCACAGGGTAAGACTGACACTCCGGCCCCACCCACGTCCCCAAACACGAAACCCAGCCAACGGAAGGAAAACCCAAACACTCCGCGCCCCCAATCATTCACCCCCGCGCGGCCTCCTCGCCTTCCTGTCTCTCCCCTTCTCCCCTCCCTTTCTGCTGCAGCTGGGTAGGGTTTAGCGGTGGCTGAGGGAGGTCTCGGCGGCATGGCGCCGTCCAAGGGGGAGCGGCGGGGCGGCGACCCGGCCGAGGGGGAGGACGAGGATTCGGCCAGCGTCGGCCGCTGCGCCAGATCCGGCGGCATCTGCCCGACCCGGCGCCACGCGGATGACGAGGCCAGGTCAGCCGCTCGTACACCTGCGGCGAGGGCGCCGGGCGAGGGCGGGAGCCGGACGCTTGAGAGGCGCATCGTGCCGGGGGAGATGCGCGGCAAGGGCGCGGCCGCCGATGTCGTCCAGGAGGCGTTGCCGACGTGCGGGTGCCACATCGAGCGCTACCGTCACCACGATGCGGTTCCCCGTCGACGCCCTGTACGGGTCGACGACGGCGACGGCACGTCCGCGGCCGGCGCCGAGGAGGCCGTGCGGACGTGCGGGAGCTACACCGACACCCCGCCCCGACGCCCTACACCGGTCAGCGCGTCGACGGCTCTCGGCATCAAGGGCGGCCGCGGAGGGCGGGGCCTGAAGAACAAGCGCGACGAGATGCCCGTGGAGGTGAGCCGCGGCGGAGTGCACTCGGACGGCTTCGAAGAGTCGGTCGCGCGGTGCGGCTTCCGAAACCCGAGCCTGGTGCGGCGGTGCGCCACGCCGCCACGGAGGGACTCGACGCGGTGCGCGCAGATGGGGGCCTGCATTCCGGTGGCAGTTGGACGGGGTCGCGGCCACAAGGACACCCACGACGACTACTACGGCACCTCGAGGCCACGGGCTGCGGAGCTCCATGCCCCCACTGCAGATCTGCGCGCAGAGGTATGGCCTTCTCCCTTGTTCTTGTGTGCACGCGCGCGCTTCAAATTCTGCTGGAGTTACAATATGCACCTTCATCGCTGCTGGCTCATGTCATGTGTGTGCCCGCTGTAGCCCGTAGGTGTGGACGTGGTTGTTTGTTTATGTGAGCGCGCGGTATATATATGAGGGACGTGCATTCCCTTGTTCATATCTTGTTGCTGTAACCACACTGCCAGGATAGTGCATTCCCTTGTTCATGTTTGTTGCTGTAACAACACTTCTAGATCTTGTGTGTGGTTCCAGGTTGTATATATAAACTTTTCCTTGTTCTATTTCGAATGCATCTCTCTTCTGCATGTTTGAGATTTGCGCCATGCGTTGCATGAATTCTTTTGACATGCCATATGTTATTTCTGGATCAGATGTATGACACCGGGAGTATCGAGGGGCCACCTGGATCTTTCACTGTGAACAATGTCCAAGTGTTTGCTGGCTATGTCCTGCATACCGGTTCATTTCTGGAAGGGCCTGACTCCAAGACATTGTCTGTTGGCGATGAAGTGAAATACAAGGTAACATTCTTTACTTATTAATTCTTTATACTGAATCAGTAACCTATGAAATTTGCTAAATTACCCATATGCCGCACTTTGCTCTAAGGGTATGTTTTCAAGCCTCTCAGATTTTACAGGGAGTGCTTTTTTGTGCTCATAATGGTTTCGCTATTGCAAATGTAGGAAGTAATTGGTGACCGTATTGACCAGAAAGGTCCCATTGCTCTTCCAGAGAAGCTGATATTTGATTTCTCCCATGGTATGCTGTGATTATTTTTATATTGCATTCACTTGTTGTTTTTTTCCTCAGCTTGTCTACTCAACTGTTAGTACATAACAGGGAAACCTGTCCAACCAGAAGATTTGCAAAAAATTGAGTCTATAGTGAAGCAGCGAATAGAGGCTGAGCTGGAGCTATCTGCACAAGAAATAAAATTAGCCAATCCGAAGAGCGTGAATGGTCTTCGAGCTGTGTTTGGTGAAGTGCGTTCTCTTACCCAGCTCGACATACCATGTTGTCATATCTTGTTTGCCTGCCCTGTTATTTTGTGTAATTCCTTTTACATATGGGCTTTGTAGGTCTACCCTGATCCTGTAAGAGTTGTATCGATTGGTCGCAAACTGGAAGATGTGCTTGCCAACCCTGAAAGCAAAGAATGGTTATCTGATATCAATGAAGCAAGTAAACTGGACGGAGCAACATTGGAAAAGGTAAACTTTTCCCCCTCTGTGCTTGTGTCTCTTTTAGTGTGAGCTATATGGTTGTGGTGCTCTCTGCTCTGATAAATTGGATATTATTAAAACTTACTGTGAGTTTGTTTGTTTTCTTAGAAACATTATGTCCTTAACCTTTATATGAAAGATGATGCCAATTGTACTTTGTAGCCATTTCCTGTTGACCTGCTTTGTATTAGATTGTAACTAAGAATGTTGTTTCTTCATCAGAAAATTGGATCGATCAATAATACACTGGATGCAGCTGCTATCCCAGCTGCAAGAAAAGCTGATCTAAAAGGCAATGTCTCAAAGTTGGAGGTCTGTAAATGCTTCAGTTCATTTGCCACATCTTGTCAAAGAGAATATTTACGATATTTGGTATTCTATTGGTAGTTAAAATGAAAGCTGATTATAGCTGTTGCATATATCAGGATCAACTAAGGGAGGCGAAGAAGAAAACGGGCAAAGAAAATGTCCAAAAGGCTGCCAAGACTGACATAGATGCTGCAGAAGCTGCTGTTTCTAAAGAAAAACTCTTCTGTGTTACTCATGCTGGTGTGCGTCTTGATACCACTGCTGCCCGGGAAGCAGTTGTCAAACCCATGGACCGTTTCAAGGTCGGCACTCCAATCCATTTCTTTCTAGTAGTGTCCGCATCATCTAAAAATAACTATAGATTGAGCATAACTAACTTACACCAACAGTTTTATTTTATTTATGAATTTAAAATCAAATTTGTGCCAAATATTTGGATGTGCTGGTGACCTCGTGGGTTTGGTTTTTCCAGAGTCTGCCAATAATGATATTGTATGTTGTCTGAACTTCTGAAATCCTAGTTTTATTCTGAAATTCTCAATTTAACGATTGTGTTAGTTTTATCCTAAATTTCTCGATTTTACTATGCTCACTGCATGTACTTCTGAAATGCTATGAATTTTATAGGTAACTTTCTTTAGATTTTCCTATATTGCACAACAAAGTTTGGCAATCAATTTCAGGCTGTGTCATTTATTCTATTGTTTCTAAATGTGTTTGTGGGTGGATATCTACTGATCTGATGTACGGACATTGTTTTCTTTTGTGTATTTGTATAGCTTTGGCTTTGTAGTACTCGTAAACCGATATTCTGTTCGTGACCTTTAGAGCATTGATGCACTTCTTTATGTGCACTATCTCTTGACATTACGTGGGTTTCTCATTTCAATAGTTAGGGTAAACTAGTCAAAACTAGCTGGTTCGGGTTGTGCATTTCTCTCTCTCTCTTTTCTAACTCATTACTTGTGTTGCAGGATGCAGACAAGAAACAACTTGGTACAATCGGTGAGGAGGTGAAGCAGTTGGCTCAAAGAGCAAGGGATAACAGAGAAGCAAACAACAGCTCTTCTACTAGTGCAAGCATTAAAAAATCCGCTAATAACACTGTTCAGGTACTGCCTCTTTTCTGCCCCCATTTGTACACCTGATTTGTACTCCCTATACATCTGCACTTGTGGTTGGATAACAGAGAATGAAACCTATACTACCGTAGTTCTCCCTATGTTCTATATTTGACATATGTTTTATTCTCAGATACTTGTGAAATTTTGTGGAGCAACTATTCCTGTTCAGGAGAACCTTGACATATTAAGTGCAAATATGCTAATCGATCATGTTTGCCGGTGTGCGGGAGTTAGTCTCACTGATCTCTATTCGACCTTCTGTGGAAGAATTCTGGAGCCGAATAAAGTTTTGTCATATTATCAACTCCAGAAGGATTCTATGGTTTATATTAATCCTAGACTACGAGGTGGCAGGTAGGTTTTAATTATAAATCTTATTATTACTGTATTTTTAGTTTGATGCTACAGTTTTTTTACCTTACTGTAAATTGTGAGCTGAATGTTCCTGAAGTACTGATTCTTGGTACTTTTTTTTTACCTTAGACCGCTGTTAACTGTGTTGTGCTGTGCTATTTGACATGTTTCTGTAGCAGTGACTCTAGTGATACATCTGTTGTACTAACATGTTCCCGAAAACTGATTCATGGTGCTTTTTTTCCCGTTAGATTGCTGTTAACTGTAATGTGCTGGCCTATCTTTTTTTTTCCTGCAATACTTTGGGTCCCTGTGTATTGTAAAAGCACTAAATTGTGTTTGTTTTGCAGTGCTGGTCGTAAAAACTGGGATGATGTAATCATTACTCTGAATGTCTACCACGGTGTGGCTTTGCCATGGGACCTACTTCTCCCCTGTCAGAGTCCAGCAATGAAAGTGTGGTACCTGGATCATCCACTACAGGTTCGGTGTCAAAAGGTGCTTATATACCTTGGCAGAAAACATTACGTTGGAATTTGTTTCGGAGGCTTCACTTCCAAGCAAATTTTCTTCGATGCCGATGGTAATGCGCATATTGATGCTGCTCCTCAAGAGTATAGTCAAGAACTTGCCTTATTGGATTATGGTGCAGTTTCTGGAATATTTGACGATGCCTTAGAAGCTGGAATTAACAAATATCCAACCTATTTCTATAATCTTATCAGTTTCCTGTCAAATTGTCCTGCTGTTGATTTTCGAAGTAAGGCTGTGATTGCTTTTGTCACGAATCACCCCTCGCTGTTAACATATTCTCGAAGAATTCAGATCACTGCAGTTCTCGATATGTTGCTTACAAGGCTCAGTAAAGATGATTCAGAGGCCTTGATAAATATGCTTGAAAATTTCTCTTGGGGGAGCAGGTTGGATAAGGTTCCTGCAATGTACCACACGTATTACTTTCACTGGTGGTATGCTAGAGATGGGAGCATATGTACCCCTTATAAGGATAATGGAGTCAGCTTGCTCAAATTCTCTAACAACTTTTTCAAGCATCACAATGTAAGATGTTTAGTCTTTCTCTTCGGATACACACCCTCTTGTAATTTTGTATGACAAGCTGATACAATCTTCTTCCGATGCAGGGCTTCTCTCTAGAAGAGCGGGATGCAGCGTTTGCGTTGGCGACGAAGCATAAAAACTATCTAGCTCAGCTACTGTTTTCCATTCTTATAACATTCAAAGACCCAAATAAGCCATGCCCTCCATCTGTTCAGGCTTTTATTGATGAAGTGATTGTAATGTGAGCTATGGCACTTGATAGTCAATCATACATAATATGTGAAGTTAGCTCACACGTTTGTTGATTATTTGCAGGCTAGGGGATCACACGGTCGATTGCGAGATTGCCCAAACTTGATTGCAAGCGCAATGCCTGGGAATGCGAGCTGGGTGACTGTTTAGCTAGATGGCTTGTTATGTGTTGTCAGAGCGGAATGCATGTCTAACACCGGCAGGAAATTGCTGTTGTTGTAAGCCTTTGAGCCTTGTTCAACATTATATAACTGAAGTTTGTATTGTACCATTTCGAACCATGTTCATGGTGGTAGGGCTTTAATTTTGTGAGGTAGGGCTTAATTTTTCTGCTTGTGGCTTCTGAGTTGGTTTGGCTGGGAGGAAGACTAGCCTAGCTTTGCTCTGCGTGTCCAGCACAAGTGACATTCGATCATGTGTGTTTGGTTCGGTTGAGTCCTGGTGTATACAAATGTTTTCTTTTCAAGAGTGATGATAAACGATGATGTATCAGTGTTTGAAGTTCAATCAAGCTAGCTGAATGGCATTACCTCAAGAAAAAGAACAGGGCATAAACAAATCATTACATACAACAAGCATAGCACAAGCTCCACACCAAGGCCGCCTTAAGGAGACGAATTATAGCACACATCACAAACACAACACTAGGTGCCTACCCTAAACCAAAAGACAAACACCGGACGTCTCTCACGACAACACACCACCGTGACTTATGTAATCAACCATCCACCCATGATTGCCTAAAAGTGCTTGCCGCATAGATGTCAGGACTTGGTCGGTCTTGAGAAATGTATCGTCTTGGATGCACCAGTGACGACGTACGTAGCGCCTCTAAAGCTCAACCTAGGGTAGCAACGAGCACCAAATGATCGCAACACCGGATCTCCACTCCGTATCTCCATACACGATACTCCCAACATAGGAATGGCGTTGAGAACACCGCCATCGCCGATTTAGAACTAAACCTAGGCTTTCACGCAGATACAACAACCAAACACCAATGTGAGAGGGGAGATGCTGACACACGCACGGGCGCCGTCCATAACACTGCACACCTACAACCTCACCCACCTGATTGGGGGCTACACCGTCCAAGTTGGATCACATCATCGCTGCCGCAACACCTCGTCTTCGTAGCCGAAACGCCACGGTCCACCATAGATCAACACAAAAACAGGGGCATGCAACCAATCTTCCACCTCCAGCATGACCGAAAGCTCACAACCCGAGCCAACAATCTCCAGCCGCACCGTCCAAGGAGTCGTCGCGTCCGACAGACACGAAACGGGCTTGAAAGGAGTAACATTTGACTGGTTACGCCACCATTCGGCACCACTATGCGGACCTCGCAGGGCAGCCACCTCCGTGTTGCCACCAGGGTGTCCACCGGCATGCGCCAGCACCTCTATCGCGCTTCCCCGCCTAGCTCCGCTGCAACTCTGGGGCCCGTCGGGGCGAGACTCACGACCCCTGCCCCTTTGGAGGCCGGGCACCGCCACCACCACCGACCATGGAAGATAGGGGCAGGGGCTTTTTTTTTCTAAAAAGTTTTTGGGGCCTCCAGGGTTGCAGTATTTCTCTAGTCCACACTAAATACAAATGTTAACTTTAAGAGGCCATGTTTTCTTTTTGAAAAGAGTCTCCAACTGGCTGCAGACCGACCTTTTCATACTCTTTCAGCTTGAAAATATTTTGTTTAAGACCAGTTTTTCTTCAGAAAGGGCACACTCAAGGGGCATCTTGCTTGAGCCATGATTGTACACCTTCCGTCGAAACTTGAAAATTGCGCTGATCTTTCAAGGCTGCAATAGCATAAGATCGGTTGAGGCATAAGAAATCCAGCCATGCCACAGAACAAATATAACCAAGAAAAGGCAATGCCTTGGTGGCAACAGACAACAGTTAATAAATTGAGTAGTTATATATTCTTTTAAAATCCAGAATTTATGTTGTTTTTGGTCTGTCAATACGAGTCAAATTATGGGGCAAGCAAACAGCAGAGGAGGGAGGCATTAAAATAGTTCGAAACATCTAACATTGTTTCTAAATCAAACCAGTAGGATTCATGCAAGAAAATGACGCTGATGCAAGTTACAATCCAAAAGAAGCCACTCACTAGACATAGAGCCATGACTCATACATAATGCATACTACCCAACATCCAGTTTAACTACTAATACTTGATAATGACGACATTAAATGTCTCCAGTGGACCTCCTAAGCAGAAACAACTGATAATGGTGCGGTCCAAATTTCCACATGATATGTTGCAAGGATCTCAGGCCTTCATCCTCTTTCCACTTGCACCAAACTCGCTAGATTCCATCTCTCTGGCAAAATGAAACAGAGAAGTCTGTCAAACATAATACTTTTAATGTGACCATACGTCAAGTTATAATAATCTAAAAACAAATTTAAAAAGAAAAAAATGCAAGGCTGAGTACATATGCGGCCATATTAATTAATTGGGCAACACCCAACACAATGTCTAAGGACCGTCCAAGATGCTCTAAATGTCTAAGGTCAGTCCAGGATGCTCTGAATTAAAATTGTCGAAACGACCATTGTGTCAAGGGTACAATTTTTACTTTTGATATCTTTCATTCAGACATTTGTCAGTGCTCAGCTCTAGTTTGAAATTATGCTTCATCTGCTATGTGCATCTTCGAATGGACTTGGATCATACCAATTCCGAGTTCAGAAACGAACTACAAGTACCCTGCTATATTCACTGAATGCCCAGGTCTTCAAATCTTAAAGTGTACGGGGTGAAGCTAATGACAACGCTATCTCTATCAGAGGAAAAGAAAAGAAAAAAACAGCCTCAAGACATGCAAAAGAGTGTCATCATGATGTGCAAGAAGTTGGGTACTGATATGACAAGGGGGCAGAGTAATTTGGTAATAAAAATTGATTCCAGAATAATGATTGCCGATGAGCATCAATATCAGATATCTACTGTTCAACATGGGGAGGTGGCCAAATATCTTGATTTATATTAGCAAGTACTCCCTCCGTTTCTAAGTAAGTCTTTTTAGAGATTTCAATACGGACTACATATGGATGTATATAGACATATTTTAGAGTGTAGATTCACTCATTTTGCTCCGTATGTAGTCCTTATTGAAATCTCTAAAAAGACATATATTTAGGAACGGAGGGAGTATGAAGCAAACTGGATGAGATAAGCAAGCATTGGAATTTTAATCATTTTAAAACCTAAGCAAACTTACAGTAGCACGCCTGCAAATGAAAGCATGTTCAGTGAACATATATAAATTGATCCCAGAATCATGAACGATGAGTATCAATATCACACATCTACTGTTGAACATGGGGAGGTGACCAAATATCTTTTTTTCTATTAAAAAGTATGAAGCAAACTGGATGCCATAAACAAGCATTGTAATTTTAATAATTTTATAAAACCTAAGAAAAATTACAGTAGCACGCCTGCAAATGAAAGCATGTTCAGTGATAGTGAACATATATAAATAAAATGACAGTAGTATGCAAATGAAACTATGATTGGTGGTGGTAGTAGTACCGGGTGCTCCTGTCGTCGGTGCGCACTGAACTCACTTGCAAAGAGCTGGGAACGAATACGCGTCGTCTTCTGTTGATAGACCTGGACATCGTTGTTATTCCCCATGTCGACACGAAGCAAGTACCGGGCGTTGAACACTAGTCGACGACCCACCGCACTGGTATCATTTACGACTAGGTAGACGACGCCGTCTTGATGGATGCTCAGGACAGGGAACGACGGAGAAAGCTGTCCCAAACCAGCAGACTGGAAGTTGGCGTTAGCCCAGATGTCTCCAAAGCTGCACTTGTAGCTTCTGCTCCACGCTGAGTGGTCAGGCGACAGAGTCCAGACGGCCAGTCCAAATGTTTCGCCGGGCTCGCGTTCAACAAATGTATTGAAGGCGAGGAACTTGACGGAGCCATGAACACAGGCCACGGAACGGAACTCCTCAGCGCAGGGGCCGTGTGGATAATCGGAGGCATCATAGTCTGGAGGTCCTTGGGGCAACTCAATGAAGCTGAAGTTGCAGTCCTTGCGCAGATCACAGAGCAACATGCCACGGTGTAGATCCACCCAGCAGAGGAAAGAGCCCCCAAAAGAGAAGCACGAGTGGACGGAGAAGTTGAAGGCGGTGGTGCCGGGTGGAAGGGGCAGGTCCCTGAGCTTGACGTCCCATTGTTTGGCGGACGACTCCCACAGCCAGAGCGCGGCTTGGGAGTCTTGTGTACAGACCCAGACGAGCTCAGCAAGAAGGTAACCGCCTTCCCCGGTGGCGCCGCACATGACGACGGCCGACTGGAACCCCATGGCTGTAGTCCTGCAGGTGCCGGGGGGGATGCAAGGGATGGCGGAGATGGAGTCGTTGCTGGCGTCGTAGATGAGATAGCCCCCCGGCAAGCTGTAGCCAGGGCGGTAGCCTCCGGCGTAGAGGGCGACCAGGTGCTTGTCTGCGCTGGAGATGCGGCCCGATTCCAGGCCGGCTGTCGGCGGGACCGGGGCGGATTTCGGCGGCCGTATGTTGAGGGAGGAGAGTTCCGGCGGATCGGCGACGAGCGGCTGGGCCTTGAATGTCTGCAGGTACTCCGCGACTGCATGAATCAACTTTTCCGGGCCCTCGGCTGAGCTTCTTGCTGGTAGTCCCCACGAGCAGCGGACTGGCCCTTCGTAGATCCCCGCCTCCTCGTCGCACAACTCAACCTCGCGGTCGAGCAGAACCATCGGAGGGGCCATGGCGGCTACCTAGCTAGCTAGCTTTGGATTAGGGTTTGGTGGAGGGAGAAGGGATTTGGGGATCGAGGATGGCGGCTCGAGCGGCTAGGGTTAGGTGGAGGACAGCGATTTGATTTGGGGATCGAGCGAGGAAGGAGAAGGGGGATTTGCACAGCAGCAGGGAAACCGGCGTGAAGGGAAAGTGGGGACTCGCTTGGACCGTTGGATCGACCAGCGAACGGTGGATACGATATCCCAGCAAACGCACGCGGAGGTCTGTGCTTCGGCGCTTCGCTTTTTCACACTGCCAGATCAACTCCAAGGGCCGATCAACCGGACGGTGCATTTGTCCGTTTTTTTGTCTGTTTGGATCGGTCACCTGCCCGGCGTCCGTCCAGTTTTGTATTTGGATCGGCAGTGCGCCCAACGCATCGATCCATTTTATGTCCACACTCAACTTAAAAAAAAAGGCCCGCAACCGATCATGCCAACGGCCATGTCTCATGCTGGCACCATGCCAGCGCCGGCATACAATGCCTGCTTCAGAAAACATCACCACAGTTTATGCTGACGCACTCGCCAGCCGGCCGACACACATGCCAGCACACAAAAAATGGTGGGACTTGAGTTTGACCACGTCATCACGGCCCCCGTGGTCATGCCGGCACACCTGCCGCCATAGATCACCCGTCGTCGAACTTGAGCATGTCGGCCTGCATCTTCTGAACCACGGCCTCTTCCTTGGCGACACGTTGTTGAGATGCACCTTCATGATCTCCACCCCGGTCATCATGCTCGCGGGAGCCACTTCTTTCGCCTTGGTCTTGGCGTTGGCGGCCTCGATCTCTAGCATCTTGGCTTGCTTCTTCGCGTCCATCTCAAGCCTCCTCCTTTGGATCTCCATGAAACCGTTCATTTGCTCCGCCTTGAAACGTCGGCGCTCCTCCTCCCTTGAGTCCTTCTTGTTCATCATGCCCTCCACGCTTGCGATCAAGGCGTTGGATGCCGCATCCTTGTCCTTCTTCTTGGAGTTGGTCTTCCCCCGCGGCTGTGCCGGCTCGCCCTCCCCAACCTCCTCCACG